TTTTTTGGTTTTTCGAGACAGGGTTTCTCTGTGGCTTTGGAGCCTGTCCTGGCACTAGCTCTGTAGACCAGGCTGGTCTCGAACTCACAGAGATCTGCCTGCCTCTGCCTCCTGAGTGCTGGGATTAAAGGCGTGCGCCACCATCACCCGGCATTAGAAAGTGATTTTTGTGTTGAATTCTAGGAGTCTACAGATTTAAGCACTGGTGTGTGACAAGAGTTAGCAGGCCTTCCTGTCCATGGCATGTGTGATTAGAGGAGGTCTCTACTGTGAGAGCAGCCCAGGCAGAGAGCAGGGACAGCCATGCCGAGCTTCTCTGTCCTTTACCATCCTCAGGAGCTGGATAGGATCAGGGTGGAGAAATCTGAGAACGTTATAGTGTAACATAGCACAGTGTTTTCAAAGTAAGGGAATATAAATCCTTCAAAGCACGATGCCCCAGTGTCTGTGGGCAGGAGAAACACCATCAAGGGAGAACGAATGATTTGCCCTAGTTCACAGCCATTCATGTGGGTGTATGCGAGGACCAAGATACGAAATGACGGACAAGCATGACCACCAGTCACAACATAATAAAATTTGAGTATGGCACATTAGAAGAACTATATTTTGATATTATTTTTGACAAATGGAATCAAATTTCTGTCATTTTTATTTTCTTTCAGTTCCTTCGGGAATTAGTGACAACTTTAGGTGTCTCCTGTCCTTGACTTCTGCTTCATGTTGGAAATTCACGGCAGTACTTGCCAATGTCTTTGCATCACAGATCATTCCTCCTGGGACTTACAATTTGCTCAAACTCTGTTTGCTGATGAGTCTAGTACAGACAAGCAATGGCAACAGGGACCCACAAGACTGCCTGGATATTTTAATTATAACCAGTGACACTCTGCTTGTAGATAGGTAAGATGTGTGCCAGGAAGTTCTCAAATTATATATTGCTCACAGATTTGTGTAAATTCTTTCTACTGATATTACTATGATTATTTAGAATTCATCCGAATACTAAAATGTTTAAATAGTTATTAAGAAAGTTCAAAACTTTTAAAACATGCATTTAGAACTGAAATATTTGGTTTTAATATTTTAAGAACCTAACCTCAAAATTCCAACCATTTCCCCAGTCAGACTTTTACAGATGCGTCCCCAGGCTTCCTTGCCCCACACTCTTTAACTCAGGATTTTGCTTTTATCTTCAAACAATCTTCCATCTAGGATTCAGCAGCCATTTTCTTATTTTTCTGACAGATTCCATTCAGGGACACAGGTTCCCTATATATCGCTCTGATAATTTATTTCAGTCTTTCTTCCATTTCTCATTACCATAAGATAATTTTCCTGCTCCTTTCTTTTCTTTCCCTGTCATTTTCCTTTCCTTTTCATTTCTTTTTTATTTTCCAAAACAGAGTTTCTCTGTGTAGCCCTGGCTGTCCTGGAACTCTCATTCTGTAGACCAGGCTGGCCTCAAACTCATAGATCCATCTGTCTCTGCCTCCCAAGTGATGGGATTAAAAGGATGCACCACCACCCCTGTCTAATTTTCTTCTTCTTGAACTTGACATTAACAAGTGTTCTCTTCTGAGCACAGTCATCTTGTTCAATGTGTTTTTAGGATTGATTTGCTTGTATGAGTCAGTAGTTTGTCATTTTTACTGAGAAGTCCATTAATATGAGCATTGCAGTGTTTTTATTCTTCTCCTGATGACGGGTTGTACATGTGTGGCTATTATAAATAAACTTCTGACTATTTTTAATTTTTTTGGTGATAGGAATCAACCGCAGGGCTTGGTGTGTAGTAGACAAGCCCTCTACCACTGAGCTGCATGCCCATCCCTGCTGTAAGATTCTTGTATAATTTTGTGGAGTGTTTCATTTTCTTGGATAAAGACCTGGAATAGCATTGCTGGGATGTAAGGTTGATGCACATTTAATTCTATAACAAACCACCAAATGGTTTTCAAAACTGCTTTGGCCATTTTACATTTCCGCCAACAATGTAAGGATTCTCTTTGTCTCTGTCCTTACCAATATTTGGTGTTGTTGGTCTTTTTTATATGAGCCCTTGCAGCACAAGTGAAATGGTACCTCAGGACTCCAACCAGCATTTCTCTAATGTCTACTGAGTTAAGTTGTTCTTCATGTGTTTGCTGACCACTTGCATGTCGTGTTTGTGTTTGCTCACTTTTCAGGTAAGTTGTTTAGATGCACTTCTGTGCCATGAGCAGACTGAGATTTCTTGTCCAAAAGCTTGCTATTTATGGGTTTCCTGAAACATGTCTGTAATGGGCAGACACTTCAACTTTGAGGAAGTCCAATTTATTTTCTCTTAGGTTTCATGTTTTCTGGGTTCCAATTAGGAAAATTTTTGCCTACCTGAAGGTCGTGAAAAATTCTTATTTTCCTTCTAGAAGTATAATATTTTGGCCTTTTGTTGGGTCTCTTCTCTATAATGTGTTCATGTTGTGGGAGTAGTGTACATCCACAGAGTACACAATAGGGGGTCAGAGGGCGACTCTGTGGTGTTATCTCCTTGCACCTTAGCGTGTGTTCCAGGGATTGAACTCAAGTTGCCAGGCAAGTGTCTTTACCCACTAAACTGTCTGACTGGCCCTTGAGTTAACGTTTGTACGTGGTGTAGAGTGTAGTGAAAATTGATGTTTTTCCCATGCAGTATCATTAGTTAGAAGACTTTCCTTTCTTTATTTAATGATTCTATTACCATGTTTGTCAAACTAAGTGTAAATCTATTTGAACTTTATTTTCTGTTACAATTTTTTTGTCTTATACTTAGGCCAGTAGTACACAGTCCTGATTATTCAGTCTTGAAGTCAGCCAAGGCAAAATATTAAGACCTTGTCTCAAAATATATAAGATACTTGCAAGGTAATGGTGGCCCAAGGCTTTAATCCCAGCACTCGGGAGGCAGAGGCAGGCAGATCTCTTTGAGTTCGAGACCAGCCTGGTCTACAAAGTGAGTTCCAGGACAGCTAGGGCTGTTAAATAGAGAAACCCTGTCTCAAAAAGCCAAAAAAAAGTTGTATACCACCTCTAAAAATCTTATTTTAAGAGTAGAAATGGGTATTAAATTTGTTTTAAAATTTAAAAAACCTCCCTATGTGATTTAAATATGGTCTACAGCTTAGAACCTTTGCTCATTTCAGTTAGAAATGTTCCTAAGTCCTCTGTTACATACCCCGCCTAATATTTACAGCCTTGTGATGCTGCATCCTCTGAATACATGCTCCGGCATCTGCCTGTTGACATCTAGGAACACTACCTGGGTCTTTTCGCATTGCATGTCTGTGTCTGTTCATCATAGATGGTTGCATCGAAAAGCTACAGTTTTTGTGGTGAGGGTTTTAAAGAAGCCACATTAGACAGGCTTTTCACTGCTGTGCTAAGTACACAAGAAAACCAGTTCTCAAAAGATTTATTTTTGCTCACAATGTTAGGCTATCATTTACATGTTCCATGCTGTGGACCGATGGTGAGGCACTCACTAGGTGATGGCAGAGAAAACAGCTCAGCTTTCGGCAGACAGGAACTAGAGGAAGAGAGACAGGGAGGGGCCCAAGACATGGTCTATTTTTTCAGGGAATGCCCATTTACTTAAGAGGCCCCACCTCCTAAATCTGCCATCATACTGTTGATCTATGGAGGTGATTGATCAGGTAAGAGCCACCAGGAGCCACACACTTCACCCCAGCCCATAATCTAACCAACCCCAACACATGAGTGCTTGGAGGATGTCCCAGATTCGCCATAACACTAAACTAAGGTAACATTCCTTTCTCAGAATTTGTATTTGAGAGTTGAAGGCATTGAAGCAGTTAACAGTAAAATTAAAAACAAAAAAGAAGATGTAGCAGGAGTTGTCATGGTACAGAAACAGCAGGACAAGTCAAGATAGGACACTGACAAACCTAAGGGACAAATCTGGAGTATATAAAAGAAAATACTCTATAAAATGACAATCCAGTTCAAATATTGCCTTCCTATAGCTTTCTCTGATCCCTTTCTAAGAGGCATAATACTCCCCTCTAGGCATCCTAAGAAGTTATTTTAGAATTATCCCATTGTAAGTTATTTCTCTAAGTCTCTCTACACCTTAAATTGTCCAGATAAAATACCAGCTTTCATATATATAATGATAGATAGACATATTATTTAGTTAAATTTAAACAATATTTCTGACATGTAATGAATTCTGAAAATCAATTCTTAATTATCATCAATGGATAATTTGTTTTTCCCTAGACTTTTGAATTATAGCATGAATCTTGTCTCCCGTGGTATACGTCACCCTGTCTCTACTGAAGTTTTTCCTACTGTGTCTAGAAATAAATATGGAACTGGAGCAGTGAGCATTCAAGCCGGCAGTGCTCTGCTAGCTAAGGGTGGGGTCTGCTTCATAGGAGACCTTACATCACATAAGAAAGACAAACTCGAACAGCTTCAGTCAGGTAAACAACCCTTTCTCAGATTATTCTTCCTGTTTAACCTCACCTTACCAGTACCAAGGAGTCATTTAACAGACAAGATGGCACCACACAGGGCTTAAGAGATAAAAATTAGAAGAAGAAAAAAAAGCCAGGTGGTGGTGGCACATGCCTTTATCCCAGCACTCGGGAGGCAGAGGCAGGCAGATCTCTGTGAACTCAAGGCCAGCCTGGTCTACAGGTCTACAGAGTGAGTTCCAGGACTGGTATCATAGCTACTGAGAAACTCTGTCTAAAAAAACCAAAGGGGGGGGGGCGGAGAATTAGGCCAAATGCCATTCTTACTTCAACTTTAGAAATAAAATAAGAATTTAATCTGCAAATGCATTGTTTTAGCCTTTACTCTAAGTTCTAATACATGACTTTCTTTTGGGCCAGTTTTCTTTCTTTTTGTCTTATTGCATTATCTAAGACTTTTAGCACAGTGCGAAAAAGAGTTGTTCTGATCTTCAGGTTTCTCACCGTTAAGTGTACTACCAGCTGTAGGGTGTTTGCTATTGTTTTAACTTGAAAACCTATGATGAATAGATTTCCTTCTATTCCTATTTTGACAAGACATTTTATTATGAATTAGTGTGGGATTTTGTCAGATCTTGTTTCTTACATCTATTAATTTGATTGTGTGGTTTTTCTGCTTTACTCTATTGATGCGATAGTTTATATTGATTTTGTTTTGGGTTTTTGCTGTTTTATTTTATGACTGACTATGAATGTTTTGCTGATCACCACATGTTTGCCTGGGGCTCCCAGAACCCAGAAGAATGCATTGGATCCCCTGGGACTGGATTTACCGACAGCTGTGAGCCACCATGTTGGTTGTGGGAATCAAATCCAGGTGTTCTGGAAGAGCAGCCAGTCTCTTAACCACGCAGCCAACCCTCAAGCTCCACATTGATTAGTTTTGAATACTGTACTGGCATAGCTTACTGAGACAGGTCCTGCTTAATCAGAGTGTGAACTTTCTGGAAAGGTGCAAAAGACTTGCCTATGTGTGTATGGACAGTCCAGCCTACCAAAGAAATCTGGCTTGAGGAATAAGTGCATCTAGTAGAGGTCACTGATAGAACATTTGATGTTTACAGGCAACCTCACGCAACCAGAATCACTTCCCCAACTCCCGTTTTACTGAGTTCTAAATTTAAGAAATGCCTCGCACAGGACAGAAGCAAATCACCCCTAGAGAGGAAGAGTGTCTTTGAAATCTCTTGGTTCTTGTCCTTATTGGAAATTTTGAAGGTTTCAGTAAACACTGCCAGACCATGGGAAGGAGGACTTTGTTCAGGGAGAGTCTGACACTCCTGTCAGTGTACAGAGCAGCTACAAAATAGTCTCACTTCAGCGGGTGTATTAGTTACCTGGCCTCCTGCTGCAACACAGCGCCTAAGAAAAGACACTACGAAAGGAAGGGTCTGCTTTGGCTCTCAGTTCAGGGTAGGTCCGTCCAGCCAGGGAAAGAAGATGGCAACTCCCGGCAGCACTTTGTGTCCATAGTCAGAGAGCAGAGAGGTGTCTATGCTCAGCCTGCTTTCTGTGTTCCTTTCCAGTTACTCAGTTGTGTGCGTGCATAAACGTAGTGCTTTGAGTGAGGATGGCCCCGTAGGCTCACACATTTGAATGTGTGGCCCCTGGTTGGTAAGCTATTTAGGAAGGATCAGGAGGTGCAGTTTTGTTGGAAGAGGTGTGTCACTTGGGGTGGACTTTGAGGTTTCAACAGGCCAGGCCCAGTCTCACACACTCTCCCTGCCTCCTGCCTGCTGGCCAGGATGTAAGCTCCCAGCAGGCTTGCCTGCAGCCTGCTGCCATACTCACAGCCATGAGTGTGGACTAATCCTCTGAAATTGTAAGCCAGCCCCATTTAAAGCTGCCTTGGTCACAGTGTCCCTTCACCGCAATAGGACAGTAACTAAGACATGTGGGATGTGTGCAGAATACAGAAAGTTTCCACAAGTCAGTAATTTTCTCTTAGGCTCAGTGGTAGAGTGCATGCTTTTTATAACTTTAGGCTGGGGATGTAACTTAACTGATAGAGAGCTTGCCTAGAAAACCCTAGGTTTGGTCCCCAGCATCACGTACAAAAAAATAATTTTTAAAATAACTTTAACTTTGAAGTTGTATATTGCAAGGAAAGTCAGTGAGATGGAGGAAACACATCCATGCCACCTTCTTAGAGCATTTGCAGTCTCTGTGAGCCTTCCTGACACAATCTGCTCTCACTTTGGTTCTCGGTGACTTTTCAGTGGTTGTTGATAAACTGCTGTCTACTCCCTCCCCTCCCCTCCCCTCACCTTGAGCCACAGTCCAATCCCTCCCCTCCCCTCACCATGAGCCGCAGTCCACTTGTAGGCAGATTTTTCTTTGGGCCACCAGCTCACAGATAATGACAGTAGACTTATGGTTAATTATGAAAGCTCAGCTGATATCTTAGGCTTGTTTTTAGCTAACTCTTTTAACTTAAATTAACCCATTTCTATCAATCCATGTGCTGCCCTGAGGCTCGCTTATGCCATCTGCACACAGTCCAACCTGATTTCCTGCCTCCTCTGTTCTTCCCCCTGTCTCCACCCTTCTCCTTCCCAGTGTCCTCCATGCCTGGAAATCCTGCCTACATATTGGTCATTCAGCTTTTATTAAACCAATCAGAGTGACACTTCTTCACAGTGTTCAAAAGCTATTATTCCACAGTATCTAATCCCTTACCCTTCCTTATCATGAATGCAGTTCACATCCTTACCATTCTTGACTGAAAAAAGAGACTCTGCTGTCCATTTGAATCAAATCATTTCCTACAGAATAGAGATCTTCTATTCTGGACATTTCATATAAATAAATAAATCCTCTAATATCTGGCCATCTGTGGCTGCCTTCTTTAATTTAGCAAAAAATGTAGTTTATTTCATCCATGTCATAACTTGTATCAGTATTTCCTTTTTTCAGTTGAGCAAAGTTACTTAAGCTAAGCATGGTGCAGACACCTCTAATCTCAGCACTCTGGGAGCTAAGGTGGAAGGATCCTGAGTTTAAGACCAGTCTGGGATACATAGTGAGTCTGAGGCCAACCTGCGCTACCTAGAAAGACTCTTCTAGAAAACATACAAAAATGACGGTGAGATGGCTCAGAGGGTAAAGGTGCTTGACACCAGCCCAGTGACCTGGGTTTGATACCTAGGCACACATGCTATAAAGAGGGAACTGACTCCCTCAAGTATTCCTCTGACTTACACACACAAACTATGACCTGCACATAAGCGTGCTTGAGTGCACACACACACACATACACACACACAACTAAATGAATACATAAATGTAAATTTAAGAAATACAAAAATATACATTCCTTAGAAGCTGCCATTTCAATCTTTGTACAATTTATGGCATTAGGTCTGTGGTCATTTGGAAATGACCACCATGAGCTCACTCAGATATTTGGGAGTCTGTTTTTTAGTTGATGGACAGTTGGGAAGGATTAGGAGGTGTTGCCTTGTGGGAGGAGCTGTGTCACTGGGAGTAGGAGTTCAAATGCCAGTGTGAGTCCCAGTCTTGCCCTCTCTGCCAGCTGTCTTTAGATTAGGAGGTAGAGCTCTCAGCTACCTCTCCAGCACCGTGCCTGCCTGTGTGCTGCCATGTTCCTTCCCTGCCATAAACATAGCAACCAACCCCCTGAGAGTCTAGGAAAGCCCTAATTAAACGCTTCTTTTTACAAGAGTTGCCTTCACAGCAACAGACACTGAGTAAGACAAAGTACATTCATAGTCTTGTGCATCTATTTTCACCCTTCATTTCCAGAATGGTTTGATCACCCCAAATACAAACTCTATACTCATTAAATGATAACTAACTCCCTATTCTCCCAGACACTAGCCCCTGATAATATCATTCCATTTTCTGTCTTTGTGAACTTGTCTATTAATAGAATTCATTCTTTGAATGAATGTATTGACAGATACAATATATTGCTATATTCACTTTATGCATATTATGAATTATTCACTATGGTTATTTGTCTTAGTTACTTCTCACTTGGCATACTAAACTACCAGACCAAGACAACTTAAAACGAAGCATTTAATTTGTAGCTTATGATTGTAGAGGGTTAGAGACTATAGCCATCATGTTGGGGAGCCTCTAGGGACCGTTCTCATCTAAACCATCACAGTACTAGTGTACAAATGCTTGTTTGAGTTCTAGACTTGGCTCCTTTGAATATATCCAAGAGTGGAATTGCTGGATCACTTTTTGGTTAACCATAGATAGAACTGTGTTAAGAGGGAAAACATCAATTGTACATTCCAACCAGTAATGCATAAGTGCTATGGTTTTTCTACATCGCTCCTATTACATCTTATTTGTAATGTTCTAAGAAAAAAAGTATAAATATAAACCTACATACAAAGTACATTTAAAGGTAAGCTGTTCATAGTTGTACCTTTAATAGAAGTATTTTTCCTGCTTTTTAACAGCATGCTAGCTTTGCTTTACACTGGGCTCCACAAATTTTATAACTAGTTCTGCCTACTAGAATGGCAAAAAAAGAAATTCAACAGTTGACAAGAAAAACTGTTGAGATTTGGAACCTCTGAGTTCTTGTGTATTGTTGGGGGAGTAGCAAGTAGTGTAATCATTGTGAAAATTGCGTGGGCAAGTTCTATTAGGTTAAATATTTACAATTCAAGATAAGGAAAAGTATAACGTGATAGCCATGACTTGAATGGGTTGAGACCACCTACAAGAGTAATAAACCACACTTCTGGGTCTGTCTGGAAGTCACTCCAGAGAGGATAAATTAAGGAAGGAGGACTAACCCACTTCCCCTGCAGCTAATACACACAGATCTCTCTCTCTTCTTGACGACGGTGAAGTGAGTCACTGTATCCATCATGTCCTCCCCTCCATGGTGGACTAAAACCTCTAGAACAACAGCCAAATGAGTCTTCTCTTGAAGTTATTTATATCAGTTTTTTTCATAGTTACAGAAGTCTAACATATGAACACAAAAGAAATGAGCTGGGCGGTGGTGGCACATGCCTTTAATCCCAGCGCTCAAGAGGCAGATGCAGGGAGATCTCTGTGAGTTCGAGGCCAGCCTGGTCTACAAAGCAAGTTCCAGGACAGCTAGGACTGTTACACAGAAACCCTGTCTAGGGAAAGAAGAAGAGGAGGAAGAGAGACCATTAAATGAATTAAAAGATTAATTTGAAATCCATTTGGGAGTTAGAATCCTAAAAAATAAGATTAAAGTATTGATTGGTTGTTTTGAAGTGTGAAGGAAAGATAAAAGTATGAGTAGGATATTTCTAGATTTTGTTTGGGTTTTAAGTGGGACAGGGCTTTGATGACTTTGGTTTTGAACTTGCTGAATTTGAAATACACTTGTCACGGATCATATTCTTTGTCTTCTGACATTCCCTGATGAATGGACTGTTTTCTATCATTTTTTAAACACATAAAAGGACATTTATTGAGCTGGGAATGTGGCTCAGTTGAGTCTATGTCACATACACAGCCCTGCTTTCTGTCTCAGGCACTGTACTTTGTGCTTGGTGGTACAAACCTGTAATCCCAGTACTTGGGAGGTGGAGGAAGGAGGATCCAAGTTCCAGATTATCCTCCTCTGTAGGGTGAGTCTGAGGCCAGCCTGGTTTAATGAAAGCCTGCTGTGTGAGTGTCCTAGTCCTCTGCCTGTTCCACCCAGATGCCCAACCACAGTTCTAGCTTGTGCTCTCGACTGGTGATTCTCAGACAAATAGCTCATACACAGACATAATTTTCAAATAGTTTTCTTACCTTGTTCTTTTTTATGGTCATTGCTCTAATTTTAGTACTATCCTGTAAAGCAATCAAATTTACTTGTGTCTTCACTATCTGTTTAGATAATAAAATTCCGCATGACGATTTGTGAACATATAGGATATCTCCTAGCATGACAAAATCTTAAGAGGTTGACGGTAGCAGCTGTTAGTGTGTGCTGGCAGCACTGACACCTAGGTAACGTGGTCCCGTCTTCTGATGCAGTTTTGGAGAGCAGAAGCATCACAGTCTTCATCCCAGGAAAGAAGTTTGGGGATGATATCGACCAGCAGATGACTTTCCCTGTTCAGTGCAGTTTTTGGTCTTTTGTTGATATGGATTCATCTTCAAGGAGAACTGTGCAGAAAACCAGTGCTCTGATTGGCCAGATGGTAAGGGCTCTGAATGTTTTACTGTGAGAATATTGTTGAGGAAGCCACCTTCCTGTAATCCTAGCACTTGGGACGAGGAAGCAGGAAGAGTTCAATTCAAGGTTATCCTCAGCTACATAGTGAGTTTGAGGCCATCCTGGTCTACACGAAACCCTGTCTCAAAAAAAAAAATGCTTTTAAATGTTTCTCAGAGAACTGTTAATCTGTCTTCATATTCTCCCCTTCCTACCTCTTCCTTCTTAGGCGTCTTCCTCTTCTTCATCCTCATTTTCAGGTAAGGCTTCACTAGATAACCAAGGCTGTGCCGTAACTCATTGTTCAGCCCAGAATGACCTCAAACTAGGAATCCTGCTGGACAATGAGAGCTGGGGTGTAGGCATGCACTCTTATATCCAGCAATATGACTCATAATGTTTTTGTTATTAATGCGTTTATATACTTTTACTAGACATTACAACTGAATAATGATCCAATTCTTTGATAATAGTTTTAATGTTTGTTTTTGTCTGAGTGACATCTCCACCCCTAAGTTTTCAGTCATGCAAATTAGATGTCTAATCAGTAGAGATTTCTGTTTGAATAGTGAAGTCCTGTGTGTGTGTGTGAGTGTGTGTGTGTGTGTGTGTTGTCAAGGTTGGTCCAGATGTCTTCCTCAATTGCAGTCTACATTAGTTTTTGAGACAGAGTTTCTCTGAAACTCCCCAGTTTAGCTAGACTGTCTCTCCAGCAAGTTCAAAAGGCCCTTGTCCCTTCTTCCCCAGCACTGAGAGTCCAGGCCCCTGCTGTGGCACTCAGCCTTTCTGGTGGATTCTGGGGGACAGAATTCAGTACCCTCATTCAGCAAGCACTTTACTAACTGCGCCCCGGGAGGGTTTAATAAACAATATATAATAAATACTCGATAAGGACGTTCTTTAAAAGTTGCTTTCTACAAGTTTTACTTTTTTTCAGAAGTTGCTTTAAACTCTAGTTAATAATGAAATAATCTTTGCATAAGTTAAATAGTATAGAAATCTATTGGGTTAACTATTTCTAGCTTGTTAGCTTATTGTTTGCCCTACCTTTGCTGTATACAGGATTGCAGTTTGATTCCGGCTAATCTTGTGGAGGCCTTTGGATTGTTGATTAACTGCAATGAATCATCTCCTTGCCACCCACTTCTTCCTACTGTGCAGCATACTTTAAAGAAAGCTATGGAGCCCGAGGGGTTGCTTTATTTAGCTTCTCAAGAGTTCACAACTGAAGATTTTCAAAAGGTAAAGATAGATAAAATGCTTATCCAGAATTCCTGTTTCATTGATTCTCAATTTATCCATTTTTAATTTTTACATTTATTTGTTTATATAGTATGGGGGCACAAGTGTACCCCAGTGTACACCAAGGTCAGAGAGTAACTTGTAGACTGCCGTTCTCTCCTTCTACCCTGGGCTTCTGGGGAATTAACTCAGATGGTCAGGATTGGCAGCAAGTGCCTCTATTCACTGAGCCTTCCTCAGCCCCGTTTCTTAATTGAAGTAGAAGGTTACTTGAGCATCATCTTTTTCTTCTCCTAGGATTTTGTTTATGTAGTTGGTTTTTGTTTTGTTTAATCTTTTTTTAAAGGTTGAATTTAGATGGCAAGTATTTTTTTATATTTATTTATTTTTTATTATGTGTACAATATTCTGTCTGTGTCTATGCCTGCAGGCCAGAAGAGGGCACCAGACCCCATTACAGATGGTTGTGAGCCACCATGTGGTTGCTGGGAATTGAACTCAGGACCTTTGGCAGAGCAGGCAATGCTCTTAACCTCTGAGCCATCTCTCCAGCCCCCTGTTTTGTTTAATCTTGAGACAAGGTTGTATGTAGTCTAGGCTGGCTTGGAACTCACTATGGTAGCCAAGGGCAGCCTTGAACTTGATCCTTCTGCTTCTGCCTCTCAAGTGCTAAGATTACAGGCATTTGCTACCATGCTTAGCTGGTGTTCTTTTGTACCAGCTTGCTTCCAGATTTTGAACATTTTAAGTACATTGTCTAGAAAAAAATTAACTGACCAGCTGTGTGAGGAAACTTTAATGTTAAGCTTATTATTTCTACTACTATCCCAATATCTAATAGCTTTAAAAAGATCAATATTGCAGGCCGTGGTGGCACATGCCTTTAATCCCAGCACTCAGGAAACAGAGACAGGCAGATGGATCTCTGAGCTCAAGGTCAGCCTGGTCTACAGAGTGAGTTCTAGGACAGCCAGGGCTACACACTGAAACCCTGTCTCAAATAAATAAATAAAAATCAATGTATTAAAATAGAATATTTCTATAGAAAGTTAAGCCAGGCCATGTAAACATACGTATTCACATTTCATGACTATGGAGTTTCCTTTTAAAGAGACTATTAACTGAGAAAGAACCAAGATCCGTGACCCGTTTAGGGGACAACTTAAGTACTGAGCTTTCATTGCTCTAAATATATATGAATTCAGAATAAAATATGAATATAGAATGCAAGAATACTTTAGGAAAAAGATGAGAATTTAGTTGGACGTTAAGAAATATTTTAAAAGTTTTATAGCAAGAATAATGTGTTTTAAGCAAAAATGAACAATAAAAGCTAAGACATAGAAGTAGAAATTAATATATTTAGGAAGGTGTGAGAAAATTGGCTTGCCTGGAGAAAAATGTATTATGGAATCTTAGGGCTTTAGCAGTTTGCAGAAAGTCTATGAGGCTAAGATAGCTGGGTATGGCCCAGGGTTCAAACCCCCCAATACCAGAAAAACCAGGTGTAATTATAGTTAATAGCATCCTAGTAGCGGTTGATGTTTCCTTTAGGTCTTATGAATTTAAAAAAAAAAAAAGAAGAAGAAGAAGAAAACAGCTAAGATAGTAAAGTCAACAAAAAAATCTGAAAATTATGTGATAAAGTAAGGATTTAAAGACCTGAGAATTATAGACAAAGAAGAGCAAGCAGGACTGAGAGGGACAGTGTTAACTGTTGTGTTTTAGAATCATTCTCTGGCCATGGAGGTGGCTCGGCTTGCTGTCCAGCCTGACCACTTGAATTCAGTGCCCAGAACATGACACTCAAGCCAGGACACATACACGCTACCCACATCCTCAATATTTATGTCAACTTTTCAAAAAGAATTATTCTCTGCTCAGATCTGCCTGAGTCATCAGGACTTACCTTTATTGTAGTAACACGGTACCTCCTCAGTGGTGGGGATGCAGTCGTCCTAAGGAAAATGAGAGAAAGGTATGAAGAAATAAACTGCCAAGGAATTTAGCATTCAAAAGAGACATGAGCTCCAGGGAGAATTTTCTCCTATGGGAGCACAAAAGTCATCCAGTCGTTCAGCCGAGTGCATAGCAGACTCCTGCACTACGAGAGAGGCTATTCTAGGTAAGGTTTCATAGCTCTTACAAGCAGAAGGGAATGACTTAAAGTCCTTAATGACTTGGAAATGGCCCAGATATTTATTTATATTTGATGTAAAGCTTACAGAAACTTAAAAATTGGATGCCATACACTTTGGAATTGTGAATCCATAATAAAACTAAATCTCTTTAATTTTTTTATATTTTTAACTTAGCTCCTGGCTTTTGCACAGAATTTGAATATAGAATTCAGCTTAGAGGCAGAAAGAATGATTCACGGCTATTATCTAGCAAGTCGCAGAATCAGAGCAGACTCTATACACGGATCGAAGCTGTCAGCATCTGCATTAAAATACTTGTAGGTATTCAACTCAGGATTGTACGACCAAAATTGACTTCTAAATATGAATTTAATTAACTTACTTGTTTTTTGCTTCTCTGTTTGATTTATAGTTGGTTGGCTGATTATTTACTTTGTTTCAGAAGAATTTAAGATGATTTAATGACTTCCTTTGTTGTATTTTAAGTCATTTGCACCACTAATAATTCCTTTCCCTAAATTGTTTTTATTGGATCCTCCGTACGAGATATGCCTGAAAAAAGTCCAATGATTTCAATGTAAATGATTGCTTTTTAATGTGGTTGTTTGTGTTCCAAGTATGTTACAGTTGGGTCTAAAGAAACTTTCCTATTAAGTAATTTATTTAATATTCATATGTGCATATAGTGTGTTTGGCTCCAATTCACCTCCATTCCCTCCCCTCCAACTCTTCCCTCCCCCATAGAGACACTAGACTGTTCCTTGCACCTCTGTGTATTTATTTACGTATTTAGCATGGTGTCAAGGACGGAACACAAGACCTTCACATGCAAGCAAGCACCCTACCACTAAACCATATTCCCAGCCTTGTTCCTTGTACTTTAAAACTCTTTAGTAAATATGCTGCTATTTTTTAAGAAGGGAATAATGAATAATTCTTGTTATAAAAATTTATGAACATCACAAAATCTAAAATGAGTAATGCATGCTCCTAACACTATCTATACCTAGCTGTCTACCCAGAGATAAAATCACAGTTAACAGTTGGGTTTTTGTTTGTTTGTTCACTTGTTTTTCAAGACAGAGTTTCTCTGTAGCTTTTGGAGATTGTCTGGAAACTAGCTCTTGTAGACCAGGCTGGCCTCGAACTCACAGAGATCCGCCTGCCTCTGCCTCCTGCGTGCTAGAATTAAAGGCATGCGGCACCATCACCCAGCCTGTTAACAATTTTAATGAATACTTCCAGAAATTATTTTTTCAAATATCAGCATAGGCTGAAGATGTAGCTCAGTCAGTAGAGTGTTTGCCTAGCATGCACAAGTTCCTGGGTTCAGTCCCCAATCCCACCGAGAGTGGGTATGGTACACACCTATAATCTAAACTCTAAGAAAATGGAGGCAGGGTGTCATCCCAGCTACTGAGTGAGCTAAGGCCAGACTATGCTAGGTAAGACCTGATCTCAAAATAAATAAATAACAGCAAATATACAAATACATGTTTTAAATGTGTGTGAGGGTGTGTGTGCTCACATGTAGAAGCCAGGGATCAGGCTTAGGTGTCATCCCTCAGATACCACCCACCTTGTGTTTGAGATGGATCTTGCCCTGGCCTGGCGTTCACCAAGTCCCCAGGGATTGGCTGGTCTCTGCCTCTCACTGTTTGGAATTACAATCCTGTGCCACCAGACTCAGCTTTTCACACTGATTCTGGGAACTGAACTCAGGTATTTGTGTTTGTCCAGCAAGCACTTTACCCACTGAGCTACCTCTCTAGGCATGTATGTGAGTGTGTACATGTGTGTCTACATGTTGGTATGTCTACAGGTAAATGTGTGTATGGGGGCGCAGCAAGGAGGCCAGAGATGATGTCAGGTGTTAGTCACTCTCAGAGACTCTGAACGTGGAGCTCACTGACTGGACTAGACTAGCTGCTGAGCAAGCTCCAGGGAGCCTCCCTTCTCCCTTCCTTAGCGGTGACACTGCAGCTCCTGCAGCTGCACCGGCTTCTTCATGTGGGTGCTGGGGCCTGAACTTGGGCCCTCATGCTGTGGAGCAGGCACTTCAGCAAGACTGAGCTCTCTCTCCAGCTCATTCAAATCAGTGTGTCGAACACAGACAGAAGCAGGTATATATATTTTGTGTTGACAATAGGTGCATTCTGTTTGCCCAAATGAAATTATACTTTTAACAGTCCTACCAGTCACACTGCGTTGTGATATGTGGTATTATGATGTGACTTTAGTATAATTTATAGTCCCTTTTTGATAGGCCATTATTTCACTTGATATAGTAAAATACAATCTCAAATTATAAAGGTCAAAAGTAAAATAATCCAATAAACAAATTAATGCAGTATCTTGTTATAACTGTAAAATAAAATAAAATAATGTGTAGACAGCACTAAGAACGTGTCTACAAGAGATGGATATGTTTAATCACTTTCTTCAATTATATTATTTAAATAAAGCTGAAAATGCAAAAGGTAAGTCAAAGTAAAAATCAAATCCTTAATAAAAGTTTTCAAATACTAGCCAGCATTACTTAATAAAGTCATAGTTATAATACTCAGACAAATGATGCTCCATCAGTTTTGGAAGTTCCAATATCTCATGTTGTCTTTTGTCTGTAGTAAAAGATACTCTTTATTTAAACTTCTATAACCTTACTTTGAAATGACTATTTTGATCAAAAGTCAGGCAGAGTTAGTTTTAATATAATGCTACCTTTTCCTATTATATGGACAAGTACTGAGAGTGGAGAGGGGTTTTATGGACTAGCACGGTAAGAGCCCTCCTACCCAGAAGAGTCCTGAGCCTTCTGTCCCTCTTCTATAGAATAACCACCTCTCCTTTTGTGAGGGTTCCACATGTGCATTCAGGATTTTGAATGAGAACATTAGAGTTACAATAATCAGATATATTTTAAGCTACATCGAGAGACCATCACAGATTTGAATTATGATCATCTATCAAGAGAAAGGTTAGTAGAATAAACATGAAGTCTTCAACTAGGTTCCCAAGCGTTCTAGTGCACAGGTAAATGTGTGGGAAGAGGCTAATGCCACTGAAGATGAACGGCATCCAGGAGACTTCATTCTGTTCACGATTAATATGAGCAAGCGTGGAATGTGACTTATCTTTTGAGATTTAGGCTGTATTAATACAACATGTAACTTTCGCGTGGCTGAGGTTTCTGGGACTGTTGGCGAGCCGGGCTTCCTTTTTTCCCCCGACATCTTAGGGAGGCTCCAGTGGTCGTCGCCACTCTCTGAACTTCATCATGCCGCCCAAGGATGACAAGAAGAAGAAAGATGCCGGAAAGTCGGCCAAAAAAGACAAAGACCCAGTAAATAAGTCCTGTGGCAAGGCCAAAAAGAAGAAGTGGTCCAAAGGCAAAGTTCGGGACAAGCTCAACAATCTAGTCCTGTTTTGGTCTTTTAGATACTGAAGATTCGCAGTCCCTTGGCCAGGGCAGCTCTTCAGGAGCTGCTTAGTAAAGGGCTTATCAAGCTGGTTTCAAAGCACAGAGCTCAGGTAATTTACACCAGAAACACAAAGGGTGGAGATGCCCCAGCTGCTGGTGAAGATGCATGACCAGGTTCAATCAGCTGTACATTTGGAAAAATAAAACTTTATTAAATCAAAAAAAAAAAAATACAACATGTATGAGGAGCAAGAGAATGGTAACTCTGCCTTACCTCTGACAGTCAAATAAGACACACAGTACTAGATTGTAAAGGTTAAACAGATCTAGTCATAAGGGAAGTAGCTGGACTATTGAAAAGATGAAAATTATGTTTCTCCAGATGTGGTGGTACACACTTTTAATCCCAGCACTCAGAAGGCAGAGGCAGGTGGATCTCTGTGAGTTCAAGGCCAGCCTGATAGCAAGTTCCAAGATAGTCAGGGCTACATAGAGAGACCCTGTTTCAAAAAAACAAAACAAAAATAAACAAAAAGTAAGTTATGTTTTATGACACATTTTGTGTGTGTGTGTGTGCACGCACGTGTGTGTGTGTGCTTGCATGTGTGTGCATTTGTCGCTTAGGCTGGAACCCAGGGCCTCATACCTTTGAGCCATACTGCTAGTCCTCATACCATTACAGGTACTGAGATATTTACCTTGGAAAAAAGAAACCGTGGGCATCTATAAAAGTTACCTAAGTACGTGAAGAGTTGTCACATTTTGATCTCCAGCTCCCTCAGGTCCCGCAAACAGAAGAAAAGACCAATTGGAGGAAACTACAATGACATATTTCAGCCCAGATTTATATAAATCCTGTGGGTTACAGAATTTTATCTTACTTCATATCCTCATTATATATACACACACACTCACACACTCAACGTTAATTTATGCCAAGTCATCCAGTCAGCAAATCCTACAGACTCAACTTGAGTTTCCTGACTCTCAAATCCAATGGTCATTTGAGAGCCTGACAAGGCTGAGAGGAGGTGCTTCAGGGGAGGAGAGCGGTTCACCTGTCTAAAGTAGTATGTCACTGAGGAAGTAGTGAATGGTCACGTGTGTTCAGAGACGACAGGGTGGTAAGCAGTTCAGAATGCTGTGCGCAGAATTGGCTTATGTGACAAGAACTCTGAACTGCAGGATGCCATGGGAACTCTGGACAGGCTAGGAGCTGATGGAAGCACCAAGCAGCTATGTATCTATACATCTTACATACCTATAGGATACTTAGTTACATTTATTCCCTCTCGTGTATATTTACTGAAGCAGAACTTAGTGCAGGGGATGTGGAATGCTAAGTGGAAGTCAATTTTTTTTTTTTTTTTACAAGGCAGGATACTTTCTTCTGGCCCAATTTATTAAGTTGATGGGGAAGAAATAGCTTAAAAGGAAAACAAACAAGAAAACAGTATGGTGACCACTAACACATGGCTCACATCATGTCTTAGTTGGTTCCTGTTTAAATATGTAATTTTTTTGGTTTTTTTCTCTGTAGCTTTGGAGCTAAATATGTAATTTTTTGTAATACTAACATGTTTTTATTAACTTGTTTTCTTTTTCAGAGTTTCTTTATCTGAAGCTCATGCTCGACTGAACTTAAGGAATAAAGTACTCAAGGAGGATGTGCTGATCGCAGCCTTATTGTTTGAAATGTCTCTCACGCTGAAATATGGTAATTCACTAATAATGATTCCTAAATAGTCTTAGATTATTATTACCTGCACTTTAAATACTTCAAAGTAATCTTTATTGTTATTAGATAAAGCTTACCTGAATTTGAACATTTGCTGTTTATAGGGGAATTTCATATTTTTCCTTGTTCAAGACAGAGTCTCACCATATAGCCCAACTGGCTGGGAACCCAAACCGTACCACTCAGCCTCTGAGTACTGGGAACCCAAACCGTACCACTCAGCCTCTGATTCTGTATGACTGCTGTTGGGGAGTTCTGTGAGACCAAGCCTCACCACAAGGCCCAGGCTCACCTTTAACGTGCCATGCTCAATCCTCAGTCTCCTGTGCTGAAAACAGCAAGCGTTCCTAACCTTTGCTGACCGGTCCCTTTCGCTCCCACACTAAGCCAAGCATTCTTAACCTAGGATCCCTGGATGCCTCAAGCCCAAGAGGCCTATAAATCGTTATCTACAAATTCGTGTGTATCCTCTACAAAGGACATAAATGGAAAACTCTAGGAAGTAGGTTATGGAGTTCATGATTACTAGAAATGATTGTCATCCTGAACTAGTTTAGATAGAACACTGGTTCCAACGAATGCTAAATAGTAATGATATGTAAGTATTCTAATTTGTCTTATTTTAAGGCCATATTTTTTTCAAATCAGAGTTATTTTCTATACCATAAAGACATGTGCTGCAGCCAGGTGGTGGCACACGCTGTTAATCCCAGCACTGGGAGGCAGAGGCAGGCAGGTCTCTGTGAGTTCAAGGCCAGCCTGCTCTACGGAGTGAGTTCCAGGACAGCCAAGACCACACAGAGAAACTGTCTCAAAAAACTGAAAAGGAAAGAGGAAGGGAAGAAGGAAGAGAGGGAGGGAGGAAGGAAAGAAAGGTGACATCAATCTTATATAATTGTTAAGGTATATTGGGGTTTTGTATTAAGGACTCTGCAATAAACTGTGACTACATTGTAAAGATGGCACTGACATATTTAAGAACGTATTTAAGGGAAGTAAAAAGATGTCCTCTTTAATTCCTTTAGCTGATGAATTTCAGTGAGGTGTTTGTGATTTTTTTAAAAAGATTTTTATTTATTTGTTATGGATAGTGTTCTATCTGCATGGATGCCACCAGACCAGAAGAGGGCACCAGATCTCATTATAGATGGTTGTGAGCCACCATGTGGTTGCTGGGAATTGAACTCAGGACCTCTGGAAGAACAGGCAGTGCTCTTAACCTCTGAGCCATCTCTCCAGCCCCCGGTGTTTGTGATTTTTAACTCTGAAGTAATACAGTGTTAAAACGCTTCATAAATATTACTTCACTTTTTATTAGTTTTTAAGTTAGCAAAGGGATAGGTTTCCTTATGGAATTTTCTACATATGTCATTATACTTTCTAACTGTCCTTACTAAGTCCCTTCCCCACTGCCATCCCCATACCTCATCCTCACACTGCCTCTTCCCCCAAAAAAGTAGAGAACAGAGAGAGGTAAATAAGAGTAGGAGGTAAGCAAAGAAAAACAGTGAAGGACAAGCAGATCAAAGAAACATGGGGAAAGGAAGAGTGCAGGATGTAATGGAGGGGAAGCTAAAAGACAAGAGGTTATTTTTAAAGGGAACAAGATTTCCCAATTGTGAGAAAGATGGTGTTGGGGCAGCTTCTGTGTCCTTGAAACTGACTCAGCCAGTTCTGAGTGGGGAGAGGGGTCAGCTGAATTTACAGAGTGGAGATGAATGCTATGGAGAATACAGAACTATGTGTTAAGAACAACTAAGGAGACCCTTATAAGGAAGAGTTATTTAACCTCAAGGGCGAGGTATCCAGGTAGAGGGCACTGCAATCAACGTCGGTCCAGGGTGACTAAAATGTTGCCGACCAAGCTGAGCAGACCAGTAGGTTATAAGGAAAATGGGGTCAGAGTAAGGTAACTAGGGTGCTGGTCCTAGAACAAATGGGAAGAAACTAAATGTTTTACGAGACTGAATATCAACTATATTTTGGAACAGTTGTCTGTGGTGAATCTTTGTTGAGACAGGGTTTCTGTGTAGCCTTGGTTATACTGGAACTCACTTTGTAGACCAGGCTGGCCTCGAACTCAGAGATCTGCCTGCCTTTGCTTCCTGAGTACGGGAATTATAGGCGTGCGCCACCACTGCCAGTTCAGAACTTTTAAACATTTATTATATGCTGGGACGAAAGGCACGTGTCACACCCAGGTTGTCTTTAGTGAAAGGTTGGAATCATAGGGACTATTGTCATACTCCATGCAATAGTAATGCTAGCTTTGACTAGGTCCAGAGTAGAAACAGAAATTAGTGAAAGATGGACCTTGGATGCAACATCCAGTCAGCTTTGCTAATGAGCTAGATTAGGACCTGGACACTATTAAAATTACGGTTGCATCTGCAAAGGCAGAGGTTGGAGTAGGAATGGATGTGTGGCTATAGAAATAGCCTGGACTAGACAACTGAACATTGAAGATAAGGAACTGAGTGGGAGTGGGGCTCTAGTTGGAGAGGATGTGATCCAGGAATGGACTTGTTCTCAGTGTCAACTCTCAAGTGTATGACATATAGTAAAGGACTGATAGCACAGTCATCAACACTGAGCATGCTGGAGAGCAGCCTGGGGGAGTGTAACACTGACCCAAGTGGAGTCATGGGAGGCGAGGATCCAGAACCAGGGTGAGTGGCATATACTAAAGATCATTTTCTACTTAAAATATATTTCAATCAGCCAGAAGTGATGATCCCCTTATTCACAGCACGCAGAGGTAGAGACAAGCCAGCCAGGGCTGCATAGCAAGAGCCTGCCTCAAAAAGGACCAAAAATTTAAAACTTAAAAGATCAGACTCTAGTCAACTGTTCAGAACTTTGAAGACAGGATTTCTTCTCTGTAGCTTTGGAGCCTGTCCTAGAACTCACTCTGCAGACTAGGTTGGCCTCAAACTCAGATCCGCCTGCCTCTGCCTCCTCAGTGCTGGAATTAAAGGCTTGTGCCACCACTGCCCGGCCAGTTCAGAAGTTTTAAACACTTTTCAAATGTTCTCCACTTTTAGTTTTTAGGTCTTGTTTACACCATTACTTTGTTCTTCATTTAGGGGCCAGTGCATTCTGTGTTGCTCCCAATGCATTGTTTCCATTTGAACTGTATAATGAAGAGTATTTAGAGCAGAGAGACCTCTACCTGACTCAGTGCCAGCAGCAGCTCCAGCAGTTTATCGCTACATGCGGACCTGGGACAGCTCTCTTTTCTACTGACGAATAAAGCAATCTGAGAGAAGGGTTTCTTCTCATGCCTGTCAGCCTTGGCTAACTGTGTGAGTGACTCTGGAGTCATGCTCAGCTGGGTATGGTCTTGAGGTATCTAGTAGAATGCCATTCAGAGTACAAAATGTGGCCCCTCCATAACTAACAAATGATCCAAATATCCAAAACCAACAGAAGTTTTTTTTAATTTGCACATTAAATTACCAGAGTCACATCAGTACTTCCTGGTTACCCTAGTTGTATCAAAGATACACACACAGTAGGGAACATAGATAGCAGTGTGAAAAAAGGTCCCATCCACTCCATCAGTACATACCATGCTTAACTTACACAATTGATGAGTTCAAATCACAATTTTTATAATCCAGTGCCTAATGTAAAGCCTTTTGATAGTTTATCAAGGGCATTATGGATATATTGCTTTATAAGCTCAAGTATGAAGTCAAGGAAAGATGTGGACTTCTTACATATACCCTTTATACAACCAGTGACTGGAAAGACCTCCTGGGGGCCAATGGTCTTCCTGCCTCCAATTAGCTGGTCTACAGGGTCCTACAGTGCCTGACTTTTGTATTACGAAGTATTGGCTCTGATGAGCAGGTTAACGACAGCACATACAAGTCCTGTTTGTGCTTTTTCATGTGAAAGGTAAACCAACCAACCCCCTTAACACACACAGAGTACCTCTCACAACCAAAGTCTAGCATTAGGAATAACCCCTTCCTCCCCTCCCCGTAACAAACCCAGGGCCTTGTGCCAGTTAAGCAACCACTTCCTCAGCCCTTAATACAAAGGCTTTTAAATGCCCCAAGTCATCAGAATGTTGATGTGTTCTTATGCTATTTACTAAACCCAGGAACTCAAGAGGCTAAAAATTTAAGTCTTCACTTGAAATTGGTTCAGACTTGTCAAGTGACTTCCTACAGTGTACCCCAGCTACCGTACCAGAGAGACTGCTGAGCACTGTCCCCTACAGTGTACCCGGTACCTGGGCTGTGGACAAATAAAACGAAGCTCAAAAGACATACACTTTAAAGAAATTACTACCCACACAGTTAGCTACTTATTACTACATAATTTATTGATTACTATAAAACAAAACACTAATTCATCATTTGCTTCTGTTCACGGATTCTTGACCAATTCTTCATTTCACCATCCACAATGTATGCTGCACCTTCCAAAGGAAAAAGACAGTGAGAACCCCATGGTATTTTTCCTCAAGCTCAAAAACTAAGTCCGGGTATTTATCTCAACAGCTTTTGAAAAAATGTCAAGGAAACAGACATTCGAATGTGATTTGAAAAGGAACTGGTCCCAGTTCCTGAGTGTTATCAAATACTGCTCAATCAAGACATGTGACTGAGCAAACTTACCGAAACAATGACATGTTTTTAAACATCACAGCTCCTGAGGTGGGACTTTCACCTGCAGCTACCTACATGCTGGATAAACAAACAGTACACTGGTTTCAACAAACAATTTCATCACATTGGTAATAGCATTATCTCTACATTGCTGGCACCTCAGTCTTGAGTATTTCTTCAAAGACACCCTCAGCTGGGTAAACGGCAAACACTAAGTCATCACTGTACCAGCTATTAAACCACAGCAAGAACAGGCCCTAGTGTTGAATAGGTTCTTAGGTGTTAATCAAATCACACACACACCTTAATACCTGTACCTTGGTACTGGCAACTGCCGTCCTGGTGGTTATTTAAATCGCGTTCTGTGACACGTTTCTGGAAAACATTTGTTCAAGCACGTTCAAGAGGCAGGTTTTGTTGCACCTAAAAATTAAACATTTGATTGTGAACTCATTTGTTACTTCCACGTTTAGCACCTTATATGATTGTGCTGGCTAGTCACTAGAGGAAGCCTCAATTGAGAAAATGCCTGCAGAGGGCGTAAACCAGTAAGCAATTCTTATCCACCCCTTTTCACTGAGGCGGTATTGATTTAAGATAAGGACGGATCCAGAGTAGCGAGCCTTTGCTCATTAGCCTCGAGGCTTACAGGTGAAAAGCTAGAAACCTAACTATAGGTGCGCAGACCAGCACAATTAAACAGCAAAGGGCATGGCCAGGATCACAGATGTGTTCTACAGACTCCAAAACACTAAATCAGGGAGCCAGTTACTGGAGACGATTTATGAAGACTGTAAAACTCAAGATGTCCGCAAATTTTGCTCCAACTTCAAAGGCTCGTTTAGAGCGTACTTACAAGACCTAAAACTGACGGTCTTGATATGAGAGACAATACACCCCACCGCTATCAAACTGTAGTACAGGGAAATAGGTCACTCACGTAAGCAGCCTGAACCAGGTTGCACCGTGGCTCTTCTGGTGGACACAGTGCAGGTCCAGCGAAAGCTGCAGTCAGAAGCGGCCGCTCCTCCCCGCACTTCGATGCGTCCCGAGGCGCAGGCCTTTAACTAAGGGCCGCCAAGCGCTGTTGTCCCCCGAGCTCGAGCAGTTCAGGATCTGCAGGTTATTTTAAAGCCCGAGCGCGCGGGAACGCGAACGCGAGCGGCCGCGCAGACCAGGCCTTGTGGCCCACCGTACCCGGTAAGGGACCGGCGCCGTCAGCTGGGCGCCCCGCTCCGCACTGACGGGGGACAGAGCGCGGGGTTCGCACCTGGAAGAGCCCGAGGACAGGCCGGGTTCCACAGGCCCGGGCCTCCGCCGCCCGCCATGCTGCACGAGAAGCCTGCGCTCCCGGGCGCCGCGCGGAAAGGAAGTGCGGAGCTCGCCGCAACCCTAAGGCGCTCTCCAGGTCCCGCCTCTTCCGGGCATTCTCTAGCCCCGCCCCCGCGTCTCTGGTGGGGCGGAGGGAGCAGGTTGTGGGCGTTACTGGGGCTCAGGAATACTTCAGCTAGAGCTTTTGAATTGACTTTGCAAGTGAATAATGCCTTAAAATAGGACAGTCTCCCCGTCCTGGTGCTTCTCTTGGTCTTCTAAATTCTCATCTACTTCTGTGTTTTAAAAACTGCTGGTATTAGCAAGCCCATGTAATTTTTTAAAAAGATTTATTTTATGTGTATGGGTGTTTTCCCTGCGTGTGTGTATGGGCACCACCTGCGAGCCTCGAGCCGACAAAGTTCAAAAGAGAGCGTTGGATCCCCTGGAACTGGTTATATTATAGCCAGATCTGAGGCAACCTACTATGTGGGTGTTGGGAACCTAAGTTCTGGAATCAGTATGCACACATACATGCGTGCACACACACACACACACACACACACACCCCGACACACACATATTCATAAATACACATCCACCATCATACGTGCACTCACACCACACACACACACACACACACACACACACACAAATTGGTCGCTAGAAAAAAGGAAAAGCTGTTAACTACTTTGATTGGCATTAGTAATAGAATTTTTCCTTAGCAGTCGCAGTCACCTACTGTCTTAGAGTTTCTGTTGCTGTGATGAAACACCATGACCAAGAGCAAGTTGGGGAGAGAAAGGGCTTCTTTGAATTACCATTCCACATGACTATCACTGAAGGAAGCCGGGACAGGAAGGCACGGAGGACAGAAACCACGGCAGAGGCCATGGAGGAGTGCTGTTAACTGGCTAGCTCTGCTTTCTTTCCGATAGAACCCAGGACCACTGGCCCAGTGTACCCCCACCTACAGTCGGTTGGGTCTCCCCCATCAATCACTAGCTAAGGAAATGCCCGACAGGCTTGCCTACAGCTGACTTTCTGAGGCCTTCCTCAGTTGAGGCTCCCTCCCACTCAGACTGCTGCAGTGTGTGTCGAGTGCCGTCAAACTAGCCAGAGCAGTTACCTTGCTGATGAACAGGTTATGGTTTACTCTTGATTTTCTTGTTTTTAATTTTTTTATTGGGGTTCATCATGGATGTACTCACAGGGAGGCCAGAGAACAGCTCTGTGGACTTGATTCTGTTACCTTGATATGCACTCCTGGGCTGCTCAGGAAGGCAGGCTGTCCAGCAAGAACATTTATCTGCTCAGCCATCTCAAGGGTCTGAACGTTCATATTTTATCAGTCTTATCCATCTCAGTCATTATACCTGAGTCCTGTCTACAAAACATTAGGCTTGGTACCACAAAAAGATACGTGTATGATCTGAAAGATATACACAAAAAAGTAAAATCACATTATTAAATTGATAAAAATCAGGCCATCTCTCCTTTGAAGGGAGACAGGGAGACGGCTTGGTGGGTAAAGAACTTGCTGTGCGCTGGGTATTTTTTATTAGCCTGACACACACTGAAATCACCTGGGAAGAGGAAGCCTGACTAAGGAATTGCCCTTACCAGATTGGCTGAAGGCGTGTGTCTGTGGGGCGTTTTCTTGATTGATGGTTGATGTGGAAGGCCTGCTGTGGATGGTGCCGCCTCTGGGCCTGTGGTCCTGGGTTGTATAAGAAAACAGGACGGTGAGTAGCATCCATTTGTGGTTTCTGCTTCAGTTCCTTCGTTGAATTCCTGTTTGGGATTCAGTGATGAACTATGATGTGGAATTATAAGACAAAACAACCCTTTTCTCCCTAAGTTGGCTTTGGTCAGTGTTTTATACAAAGCAACAGAGAAGCAAATCTGGACAGCATGCAGTCCCAGTGCTCTGAGGATGTGAACACAGGAGGATCCCTGGAGTCCTGTGGTTAGACAATGATAGAAAGCCTAGGTTTTAAAAACAGGACCCTGTGAGATTACTGATGACTTTGTTCAACAGTTACCATACAGCCCCTACCCAAGAAGGCTGTCTGCTGAGACAGCCTATCTCCCAAAATAATCTGTCTTGCTTGAGCAAACAATTCCAGGAAGGAAAGATTGTAGCAGTCTTCACGAACTCTTTGCTGTACTGTCTGACCTTCGCTATTTGAAATAGTTTTACCTGTTGAGGTCAGACTCAGGTCTGTTTCTGCCTTCTGTGTCTTTACTCTGGGCTCTGAAACAGTTTAGCCTAATCTGTGAGTTCTGGGTTCAGTCTCAAACAAGTCAGGTGGAGAGTAGTTGAGGACTACACTTGAGATTCGTTTCTGGCCCTCACACACATGTAACACACATATGTACAGACATACATGCATACAGACATACATAATAAATAAGGCGGGGAGTGATTGAGAACTACACCTGAGGTCTGTTTCTGGCCTTCACACACATGTAACACACGCACACATGCACACAATAAACAAGATGGAGAGGGAGAGTGGTTGCAGACTACACCTGAGGTCCATTTCTGGCCTTCACATACATGTGTGTTACATGTATACATGCATACATAATAAATAAGTTGAAGAGTGGTTGAGGATTACACCTGATACATTGTGTCTGCACGTGTGCACAAAGAACATGCACACACACACACACACACACACACACACACACACACACACACACAGGACTGTGCTAAATTATAGGCTCCACCCAAATCTGTTCCCACCCTCTGCAGCCTCTCTTCAGACTGAGAGCTGATAGGGCAACACCTACCGTGACCAAACTCCCATGCTCCCATGCTCCCAACCCTTCAGCACTCCCCACCACCCACCACTTGCTCAGGTCCAGGGTATCTTTGATGGACAATTTAGCTCTCTTATCTAGTGCCGTCTGCATCTGTGACTCCTACATCTCCTAGGCTAGATCACGTGGTGCGGAGCCCCCCCCAGCCCTCCAGATCACGTGGTGCGGAGCCCCCAGCCCTCAGGATCACATGGGTCAGAGAGAAATTGCCTTTGTTGTTCTTGAACTGCAGGTTCCCTCTCCAGGACCCCATTGCTCTCTGTGATGTTTGCTGCTATTGCCCTCTCTGTGATGTTTGATGCTATCATCCTCCGAATAAACTTCTTCTAAAGGGTAACTCTCTCAGTGCCCTTCTACTATACCCAATAAGGCTCTAAAAAACGCATCTAACGCTATGTATGTGTAGAACCTAACATAGGAATTTAGAATCTTTGTCTTTGTCCACAAATGCAAAGTTGTTTCTTCTGTGGAGCAGTAGCCAAATTCATTAGACTCATTCCTTGATGTTGCACCGACAATGTGTCCAACAAACGCATCTGTGTGAGCAGCCCATGTAGAGCGTAGGAGGAAGTGAATTTGCAAGCTGAGCTGGTAGAAGCTAATGCACAAATTGAACAAGGTCTTAGTGTCGCTTGGTGCTGGCCAGGTAGGAAAGTCTTAGAGGCACACACGAGTACGTGTTCTCCTCTCCCCTGTTCCTGTGGGACAGCCTATAGCTTCCTGTTGTCTCCTCCGCGCTTCTGTTCGCAGGGAACGCACGGGGCTCTACTGCCAAGAGATAGCCGGGCCAGAGTTAAAGAATTCTTTTTTTAATAGATTTTTTTTTTTTTTAATTTTCGAGACAGGGTTTCTCCGTAGCTTTTTTGGTTCTGGTCCTGGAACTAGCTCTTGTAGACCAGGCTGGCCTCGAACTCATAGAGATCCACCTACCTCTGCCTCCCGAGTGCTGGGATTAAAGGCGTGCGCCACCACCGCCTGGCTTTTTAATAGATTTTTTAATTAAAATATAATTACAGCCCTCCTTTCTTTCCCTTTCCTCCCTCCAGCCCCCCAAGAATTCTTTGTATATTTTTGTTGTGGAGTAGAATATCTGTATAACTATGTAACGCTGTGTTGGTTTTGTTTATGCTGCATTTGTTGAACTCTGTAGTGATGCTTTGCTGTTTCGCTTTGCCTGCCTAAGGTACCTGATTGGTTTAATAGAAGGCTTAATGGCTAATTCTAGGCAGAGGAAGGACAGGTGGGGCTAGTGGGCAGAGAGAAAGGGAGCCAGGCAGCTAGCCAGGGGCAAGCCAGCTGACGTGGAGGAAACAGGGAAGCTGGATGGGACAGTCATAGATGAATAAACAAGCCTCAGCACAGCACATAGAATAGATGAAAAGAAAGAAAGCTAGCTAGAAACAAGCCTGAGATAAGGCCAAGCATTTTAATTAATAATACGTCTCCATGTCATGATTTGGTGACTGGCAGTTCAAGAAAGCCTGCTACATATTTTAATATAATTACCACATATGATGTACAAATATAGTCTTACAGTCTGCATCTTTTCATTCTCTTAAAAAAAATCTCTTTGTATTAAGAAGATATTTCTTCTCCCTAGCCCCGCAAATGCCTGAGCCAGGTGAGAGAACTGGCGTCCCTGGACCATAGGGGTGGAAGAGCTGTCCCTGTCCCCAGTCAGCTGCAGCACCAGGGAGAGCAGGCCCTGCACTTCACATGGGCAGCACAAAAGAGCCAATCCTGATGGCCAAGGTGTGGGTGAGCCAGCCCCAAAGTTGTGAGCATGGGAGAGCTGTGCCCATTACTCATCTGTCCAGTGGCAGCATGGGGGAGGGGGAGACACCCCCACCCCAGCCCATCAATGCCTGAGGCAGGTGGGAGAGTTGGCCCTGCACCTTAGCAGCTGCAGCACTCAGGAGAGTGGTCCCTACACCTTGCCTGGTCCTGATGGTGTAGGTATGGGAAAGCAGGAGAATTGTCTCTACCCATCGCACATTCCTGCAAGGTGTGTACTCACTCTGGTGGTGAGGACAGGGAAGAGCTGGCAGGTTGACCAACCCTGCAATTACCCAGGCCCAGAATCAAGGGTTATGATTGACCCACCCAAATAACCACCCCATCTGTGACCTGCTGGAGCACATGCAGGGTCCCGTCTATAGGACCCAAAGCTGCAGGATCTCCATGACACAGGCAACAGCAGGATACTCAAGAGGAGCCCCAGTGAGGGCCCAGCATCGACAGTGTAGCAGAAACCAGAGGCCTCAAACCAGACCAATGACTCTTTGTAATGAACACTTGCAAGTAAAGATGTATGGATAAAAGGGTTTACTGTGTGACTCACTGTACCGCACTGCAGCTTCCATGATGAGATAGAGTTTTCCTTTTTTTCTTTTTTCTTCTTCCTTTTTTCTCTTAAATTTTTGTTTTATTTTATTTTGTTGCAAGGGCAGAGGGCAGATACAAAGGGATGGCAAAATGAATGGGATGCATGATGTGAAAGACACAAAAAATAAGGAAAAAGAAAGTAAGAAGAGGAAAAGACATTTATTCTATTATTTAGTTTTGTGTATGTGTGTGCGCACATGAGTGCAGGTGCCTACAGAGGCCAGAAGGGGGCCTCTGATGCCCCAGCAGCAGACTGGGTGAGTGTGGCTTTGATTGTTGCAGGTGTTTGTCATAGCCACTATATGACTGTTGAGGGTCGTCCATTCAGTAGTGAAAGACTCACCTTAACTACATTCCCTGAACCTCATAGGTACCCTTGTGAATGAAAGGCAGAAAGAAAGAGGAGAGGACACACCTGCTCCTAGGTGTGGTGGAGGAGCAGATTCGTTGTAAGTTTGTGGGAGAGCATAGCCAGAGGCGGGGACATCTGGGAGAGTCCAGAGTGGACACAATCCATCCGCTCAGCCACGTAAGGAGAGCAGGGAGGGGAAAGGAGAAGAGGGAGAAGGGAACCGGATGCAGCAGCCAAGAGGGCAAAGAAGTGGATAACCAACACGTCTGGATTATATAGGGAAGAGTCTCTGGGGAAGAACAGAGAGAGTTCTGGGGTAGAGGGCAGGGTATGCCAGTCATAACCTGTAAGAGGCAGGGTCTGAAGGATGCTGGGAGAACCTGGTGTGAAGGTCTATTTGTGTATGTTAAATAGGTATCTCAGCCCTTTGTCCCAGTATTTGAGACTTAATATCCCAGCCTCTTTGTTCATAAGAAATGATAAGGGGGGGTGGTGGTCTATGACTACTTTCTGTTGACAATGGGCTTCGGTGTTGGGAACCCAAGAAAGCTGGGATGCTTGCCAAGGCCGGGGAGAACGTGTTGTTTCGCTCACTGTCCAAGCTCTTCAGGGCCATCTGGGGTTGGGGAAGCACAGGCCAAGCTGGAGCAGACTGTGAGCCTGGACCACCTGGGCAGCCACTTTGGAGCTGTCTAGGACGCAGATTGTGAGGGAAGGCTGTGAGCTGGAGCACTCTATAGTTAATTTAGAATCTGCTGGGACGGAAGATTTTAGGGATTTTAGAAGATTTTAGGGTGATGAGGTAAAGTTACAGAGTTTAGGGGAAACTTTTTTTCTTAGGTGTACATTGGAAACTTTAAGGTCAGGGTGAGGCAAAGGGAAAAATAGCTAAGGAAAGTGCTAATGCCAACAGCTTCTCATATAGCCATGTGCAAAAACAAAATGCAGTTGGGTTCTTAACCTTACATGATGAACAAAAACTGACTCAAAGCACATCAAAAATCTGCTTTACAGCATGCTGCTTTTTACCCTCAATACAGCATGTGAGTGGGAACTCCTGAAGCTAGCTGTTCTGCAGGCACTGGCTGACCGGAGCCTCAGTACTGCAGAGAGACAGAGAGACCGGAGTGCTGCAGGCCTACAGACTCATTCCTTTATCTCAGGCTGGCTGTAGCCCTCCAGCACAGCGATTCCTTGTACAGCTCTCTGTCTGAACTAACATTTTATA